CACTGTCAATACCAAATAATAATAAATGCGGAAAGACAGCATGGCCCTCATTCCTTTCGAAGTGTGCCCAACATCTCTTCGCGATGTGTCCCCTTCTACTCCCGTGCTCCCCATGTCAATTGTGACTTCCGCGGTGTTACTGATCGGACAAATAACATCGATTGTTTGGAAAAATCGTATAATCTTGCGATTACTGCAATTTTCTGGCTTTGCATAAGTTGGAGGGGCGCCAGTTGCCTACCGATGTTACAACAAAAGGGGAAGTTTGGAGAAAATTACGATATTGTAAGTGCCCTTATACAGAATATGCGTGATGGGACCAAAAAAAGAAAAGGCGCTTTTTGCCTGCTTTTAGCCAACTTTTAGCATCTGCTTTCTTTTGATGTTAACCAGCTTGAAAATTAAATCCTAGGTGAAATTAATTAACAACTAATTTCGGATACATTCACCAGACATTATTAATAAAATCAACACATTTTGTTATTTTGCAATAGCATGGTTTGTCAATCGTTACAAACAAAATAATATCAACCTATCCGAAATCTATCTAACGACGACCTGAAAAGACGTAAGGCGGTTCCTGGCTGTTGACTGACGGATACTAAGGTGACGTAAAAGATACTGTGGTATTCGCATCTCGCCACCACAATGTCTCCTGGCTTGTGGCGCAGTGGAGGTTTGGTATGTCTGATAGCTCTCATCACCGCGCCACTCGACGTCCTAAGCCAGAAAACAGCGAAAACTAATCCTTTGATCGAAATTGACAAAAGATTGCATGAGACAGAGATTCGCACTGAATCTGCTGTGTCAGAACTGCGCAATGTTAATCAGGAAATGGCAACACTTGGTGACCAAGTATCCCAGCTGAGCGACACAATTTCCAAACAACATAGTTGCAATTGTGACGAGCTGACGTCTCTAATAGAATCCACACAGCAGCAATGTAAGTCGAGATTCAAGGAGCTGGCCGGGCAGGTCAAAGAACAGGAGAGTGAAGTTGAAGACAGGCTCAACCAGATGCTCGAGACTCAGCTTCAGGTCGTGGAAAGCAGAATTAACTCCTCTCACAACGAAATGTCCGCTCAAATCACCTCAATAAATAGCATGCTTGAGTCATCAATCCAGGAATCAACATTTCAAGTCAAAACCGTTAGAGGAAAACTTGAGCATTATATTGGGAGGGTGCAAAAACAATTGTATGCCAACGAACGCAAACTCAGCTCCAGACTTGATGAGCTGGAGTCTGAACTGGAGAAACAGGTTGATCAGCAGATCGACCGTCCGGACAACGCGTCAGCACTCAACGAGCTGACTTCTCGTCTGGACGAGTTGTTTTCTCGTCTGGACGAGTTATCATCGCGAGTGGACGGGCTGGGTAACAGCTCGGGACCGGCGGCTGAGACTGCGCTGCCGCGCGACTGCAGTGACCTGCCGGCCCACTCGCCCAGCGGGGTGTACCGCCTGGCGCTGGGCCTGCCCGGCATCCACAGCCAGCCGGCCGTGCAGGCCTTCTGCGACCTGGAGCGGGACGGCGGCGGGTGGACGGTGATCCAGCGGCGCGCTCTCATCAAGCCGCTGCTGGGGTTCAACCGCGGCTGGGCAGAGTACAAGACGGGCTTCGGCCAGCCGCACGGAGAGTTCTGGTGGGGGCTGGAGAACATGTTCCAGATGACGGGCCCAACTGACCGACAGTACGAGCTGCGGGTGAACCTGGCAGACTCCAAGGGTAACCGGCGCCACGCCATCTACGGCCACTTCAGAGTGGATAACGAGGCCAATGGGTACCGGCTCTCCATCGGCAACTACACCGGCGACGCGGGAGACAGTCTGATGTACCACAATGACTGCATGTTCAGCACCCCAGACAAAGATCAGGACATGGCCAAGAGGATTCATTGCGGCCGCAAATTCCGGACAGGCTGGTGGTACAGAGCCTGCCAGAGCGCCAATCTAAACGGACAGCATCGCTACAACAGACAGACCAAGTACCGGCGCACCACATGGAACAAATGGCCAGGCGTAAATTACTACATTCCAGAAGTTGAGATGAAGATCAGACCCATAAAAACTATCTTGAGCGAGACAACAGCAAGGTAAAATATCGTCATACCTGCGCGCTGATACTAATGAACAGACATAAAGAAATGAACAACGGTTATTATTTGGTATCAGCACTTCAAGCAAAAACACCTTACACAATAAATACTTATATCGTTCATGATGTTTCTTTTCCCGCTCTGTGGCAGAACAAGGAGTCTACATCCCCCTAAACGGATCCGCAAGCGATTCCAAAACGGCAGCGTGCTGTCCTTTTTTGGAAGTTACACAGTTCACCCCATATTTATCAGTGAGATCATGGGTGGAGCTTTTTCCAGGGAAGTTGGTGAGGCAAAAAGTTGTCAAACCTGCAATGTCCGATCGTTAAGTTAGATAAAATGCAACACTGAATCAATTCGTTTCATTGCAGACCTAATATTTTGCATTTAACAGACATTTCAAAGCTCATCAATGCAAAGAAGATTGGTTTGCTAAACAACAAAATCCTACAAATAAGCTTTAGTTGGTGGGGCAAAACGCTTATTGGTGGGGAAAGATGGCAAGTTAGTGGGGCAGCCGCCCCACCAACTGAATAGGAAGCTCCGCCCCTGAGTGAGATATTACTTCATAAAAAGGTAGCAATCAGTTTTTTTTCAATAACACCCACCTGAGACTCGAAGTGACTTGTAACACACACCTCCCTAAATTGTCCCTAACAGTGCACAACAGTTGAGCGAAATCGGTCCAGCCGTTCCCGAGACTAAAGAAGCGGACCCCTTACCTACTTGTGCAAGTACAGTCGGTCCACCCCACTTGTGAGACATGACCATGCATCGCCTGGCGAGTGCCCTGTCCACCCACAGTCCAAGTTTCAGCTCAATCGGCTCGGTAGCGACTGAATTATTGCTATAATTATTGCTATTATAGTGCAAATCTGTGTTGTTTACTGGTAAGCGCCTATTTTCAGTGTTATCGAATTCCCCTTGGCGGGCGGTGCATTACAGCCGTTGCAGCCCATGCTGTGATGACTATTGTTAAAAGTTGAATGACCTGTCGGCTTTAAGTCGTCGATCAGATCGATTATATTTCGTTTAAAAATACATGTAACGTTACCAAAACACGGTCGTATGCTTGAGTCACTTTCACGAAAGTGCATTTACTTTTCAATGACATTTTGATTGGATATTGGTCACAGAAGAATGCACTTTCCGAATATGGTTTTGTTTGTTGTTTATTGGGGCTTTAGGGCGCGTCGACTGCAAAGGTCATTTTGCGAGCTTCCGAATATGACGGTTTCATTGCCAAAATACGAAGGTCGCTTCAACCCACAGATTCCGCATGCCAAATTTCACGCAGCCACGCGCCGACAATTTAGGCATGACGGATGGATGGATATGGAGATTGGACAGACATCTTATAAATCACAATATAGATCAAACTCCAATTCCCACCCACACGCACAGCCGGCCGCCTGATTCTCCACTTTGACGGTAATTAGCGGGACAGTGAAGCAATACGGAGTCAGGATCCCTGGCATTAACTATGAACCATGGAGACGGGGATGCACGTGGGATGCACTCACCCAGCAGGCCTCCAGCAGGACGACCACCTCGTACTGGTACTCCCGCACGCGGCGCGCCCGGTCGTCGCCGTACAGCTGTGCCACGCGCCGCTTGTCCGGCAGAAAGTGATCCTTCAGCATCAGACGCAGGTGGGACTGAAACACCACAGGGCGGAGCGGAACGGATGAGCGTATGGTAAAGCCAGCAGCGTACGGTTAAGCTGCTGAGGTGTCTGACTCTCATGAAGATACACGTCACATGAATTTCATAACCACGCTCGGTAATTGCTCTTACATTTAAAAATAAATCATGACGGCTAAAAAGGACCTAAATTTAGTGTCTAAGGTAAAAATATTTGATTCACTTTAAGACTTAATTGTTGTTGTTGGACCATCCCGAGGGAGATGCGCGTGGGACTGACCGCGGTGTCGACGCCCTCCATGGCCTTGATGTGGAGCAGCAGCGGGTTGATGACCGACTGGACGGCGGCCACCACATCCTGCTCGTGACCGGCTATGCACCGCTCCTTCATCGCCTGTTGGGACAGAGGGTGGTCACTGCCCGGCTATACAGCGCTCCTTCATTGCCTGCCGGGCACAGAGGGGGTCGGTCCGGGCTACTGATCCGACCGCCACGCACCAATGCCCGGGCCACATACCGCCCTTCTAGCAGTCTGGTCAGTTTAGATCATTGCACGTCTGCCACACACCACCCATTTATGACATTTCGGGGGACGGGACGCTTCAGTCCGGTTCACTGTGCAGTGTGCAGGCTGCAGCTGACCACCCAACAGTTCCACAGAGTTCAGCCTAGCCTAGCCAGCCGGCGGGACCGCCCCGCAGCTCCGTGCGCGCCTCTCACCTGCAGTCTGCCCACCAGCTCGGCCGTGTCGGTCACGCCGCTCACGTCGCGCAGCGCGCGCTGCTGCTGTTCGCGCATGCGCCGCTCCTTCTCCTGGCGGCGCCACGTCTGGCGCTGCTGCTCGGCCGCCTGCTGGCGCTGCCCGCGCCGCTGGCGGACGGCCGTCATCTGCGCGGCGCGCGCCATCATCTGGTGGCCACGCTGCAGGCCGCCGGGTGCCGCGGCCGCCACCGGCGCCGGCCCGGCCGGGGGAGCCGAGCCGGCCGCCGCGGGGACGGCCGAGCTGCTGCTGCCGCGAGCACGACGGTGGCGCAGAGAACGGGCCAGCAGGGCGTTCAGACCCTCCGGCCACTGCTCGCTGGGGCTGAGACAGCAGGAGGAGTGTATTAGTTGGGGTACGGTGCTGCAAATGCTGAGAGAGAAGTGAAAGGCACCAACATAAAATATTATAAATGATATTTCCGAAAACAAAAAAAAAGGAAGTGTGATATTTCCCAGCCCACCATTCACCAAACACTCTCCTGCCTTGCTCCTGCCTACTTACGTGGGCCAGACATCCTGGTGTTTCGGAGGCGACTCTGGCGGCGGTCCTACGAACCACAGCTGCAGCATATCCGCTACCAGGGGCCGCTCGGACCGCAGCCGGTGGCGCACTGTTTCGGCGTCCTTCCGCGCGCCGGCGCCACCGTCGGTCGGCGGGTCGCCCAGTGAGAGCAGAGCTCCGCGGCGGGCGGAGTCGGTGCGCAGCAGACACGGCTGGTCCGACAGACGCACCAGCTGCGGACGGAGGTCACACGTCAGACTCGGGGTCAATGGACAGCGAGAGTGCATGACGAAACACTCAAATCCACAAAAATATGAACCATTATGATTTATGTGAAGACTATTCACTATCAGCTCCCGAAAACTTCAAGGCATTCTATAACTTTAAAGTCACGAGCATGTGCTACTATCGACAATTACCCCCGGCCCTACGAATCTCACCAGCAGGGTGCCCGCAGAAAACGCGTCATCGCCCGCCTCAAAAGTCGCCAACTGCACGTGGGACGCATTGTCGACGGCGTCAGTCATCTTGGCAACCACCTCCATTAGAATACACGCGTCGTCCGGCGATGAGAGCAGCCTGTGGAGCAGTGAGATGGCACAGGTTACAGAAGGCTGTATTTAGCATTCAGAACGCTGATCTTTCGGGGATGACGCGAATTTCTCCTCATCTAAACGTCTGTTGCAATCGTTAATCACAGCTACATTTGTAAACACGTCTTATACATAGCATGTGCAACAAATGTCAAAAACTGCATTACTCCAACAAGGAACCACAAACAAATATCAGATAAAGAGACATCTAGTCACTAGATATAGCTTTTAGCAACATAAGTGTTCGAAGACAAGTCCAGTCCACCAGTCACCCCTGTCCCGCCTCACCTGAGCAGTGTCCGATCGGAGGGCGGGGCGTCCGCCTTGGCCCCGGGTTCGATCGTCACCCGAGCGGTGTACTCGGTGGGACCCATCCTCCACCGGACCCGGAGGCCCTCTCCCTCCGCCGCCGCCTTCCCGTCGCCCGGCCCGACCTCCGGCGCCGGCTCAGCGGCCGGCTCGGGTCCACAGAGCTCCAGCAGCGTCTCCAGCCGCGTTAGGACGCCGCCGGTGGCCTCTGCCAGCGCCGAGAACGCCCGCTGTACGAGTGGGTCGGGCTCGGCAGCCGTTTGAAGGCCCGCCGTGTCCAGCACGTGCAGCCGCACGCGGCACTGTTCACACAGCAGTCGGCGGAACGAGTCACTGAGCACAGCAGCCGTGAGCCGGGCGGGCAGCTCGTCGGGCGCCGCGCCGCCAGCGAACCGGTGTGCCGCCTCCTCCGCCGCCGGCAGCGCGGCCACCAGATACACGGCGTTACCCGAGTCATCGGCCGGGGCCGGAGCGGCGCCGCGCCGCCGCCGGGGCCGCTTCACAGGCGAGTCGACGTCGGCACGCTCCCACTGGAAGTCGCTAAGCACCTCGTGCAGGGCGCGCGTCAGCGCCTGGCCGGGCGGTGCGGCGCCGGGATCCGCCGCCCGGCGCGGCGAGCCGGTGCGCCGCCGCTCGAGTGCGCCCGCCAGCGAGTTTTCCAGCGCCTCGAACGCATCCAGCGTGAAGTCGACAAAGCCGGATCGGTCCGTGCCCGGCTTGTAGCGCGCCGAGTCAAACAGTCGGAAGCCGAAGCGCAGGCCGCCGTCCTTCTCCAGGCAGTTGGCCAGCCCGAGCAGCAGGCGGAGTGTGGCGCGCTGCAGGGAGCGCAGCCGCCACTCGAACGCCGCATCGCCGGGCGCGTCCCAGCCCAGACAGTGCAGGTCAAACAGGAGCACCACCTGTTTCCGCATCGCGGCTAACACTTGGCAGCCATGTTACCAGGGTGCTGACGGCCCCAAGAGCTGGGCAAACACTGCAAAGTAGAGAAGACTCATTGAAGGCAGAGTGGTAGTGATAACGTCACCGCCGTCGCTGCTATGAAGCCATAAAAATAAGTGTTTATATGACACCACATCCCACGACACAATAACTAGATAAGTGTCTGCAGTTCTGTCAATGCTTGTACTTAATGTTGCAGTACCTACTCAGTACTCAGGCTCAATGATTTGCAGGCTCAATGCATTGCACCTTTCCCACTGTCACTGGGCAGTGTGTGAGTAGTGATAAAAATGTTTCTCTTACAGGCAGAGACATTTTCTGATTCGCCTGGTAAAACAATAAATTTGGATTTAAATAAATTGATAAAAGTGATCATGCATAACAGGCAAGCTAGCTAAAGCTAACAGGCATGAAACATGCTTTTATTTAATATTTCTATAAATATGAACTTGTTTTTCTAGCATTAATAAATGGACTTTGATCTGGATATAACAACACACACTCAAGCAAGTAGCAACATTAACATTTAAACCCAAAAATGAAAAAATGTTAGATGAATTGTAGATATATGAGACTGAAAAAGGCAAAACAGTTATGTTCAATGTCAAATTCTAGTAACAAGCTATATATCTTTTTAATCATTACTATAACTGTTCTCTTCCCTGTGCAAGCAGTGACAAAATTGACTTTTCTGTTGGATCAGTTTTGTTAAGACATGCTTTTAACAATTATATTTCTAATGAATGCATATCAAGGTAACCAAAAGTGACAAGTCCAATGATGAATGAACAGCACTTAGTGAATCCTTAGGCTACAAAGTGCAAACATGGATGCTTTTATCAGCATTCATACCAAATGTTCCAATACAGATTCCAGGATATCACATTTGGGTTTTGAATAAACCTTTTCTCATCAGCTTTAAATGTTTTAATCAAAACTTATCAATCTATATTTTAGGTTCTAAATATAACAACAACAGGATGAGATATAAGTTATACATCTATTTGTCTCCTAGTTTACCAAGTAATATTAACAGCAGAGTAGGTACCCACTGTAAGAGGAAATCAACATAAAATAACATGTACAAATATGATGTAAGTTCTGGATAATGGATTATACGCTTAAAAATACAAAACAGTACTTATTATCTAAAGCATAACTTTAGAAAAGGCACAGGTATTTTCATTCTAAAATAAATCAGTAGGCGGAACTATGGTCAAGCGTACCCATTTTCGGGAACGCATTTTCGTTCCCATGTTTGGGAACGATAAACCCAAATATGGGAACGCCATGTAGGCATTATTTAAAACAAGAAAAAGAACCGTTAAATGACGTCCAAAAAATATAAAACGATCGTGAACCGCCTGATATTTGTCTCAATATTGTTGGGAAAGAGTTTGATATTGTAAGGCCCATCGTAGTTTCAAATCGTTCCCCTATTTCTAAAGCAGTCCATCATCCGGGCCGCGAGCCCAAATTTGGGAACGCTCTCGTACACTGGCGCTGCAAGCGTTCCTTATTATGGGAACGGCGTACCCAAAATTGGGAACGATTTCACCGACGCCTTTCAGGGGCTCTTTTCATTAACAAGCATCACGTCCAACGCCGCAAATTATTGTTAACGCAACAATCATCAGATGACCTTTCCGGCAAGACCGTCGCATGTTTCGCCCGGTCTTCTGCGCTTTTATTCCCGTCGATCTCGCAGCGGGCACGCCCCCCTCTGCAGGATTACGTAATTCACAACGCTCAGCGATGTTCAACAAGGTCTTCCATACCTATATCCACCGTCCGCGCTGAGGGTGGAGACATGTCAAGCACCTGTCTGTTTATCACCGATAGTTGACGAGTACAAGGAAGTATCCAAAAATGGGAACGCTGCATATGTTACACCCTCAAAACACCTAGTCCCAATGAAAATCTAGTTTTTTCCTTTATTGATGAGTGTAAGTGGCAAAAGGCCTGGTAGGATGGGCACGAGGAATTATCGAAATCAGCATAAAAATTATAAATAAGCCACACAGAGCGAGCTATATAGGAGAAATACCCCCAAAACGATCACGCTTAGAAACACGGAAGACAAAAACCACGCTCATGACGCTCCTTATAAAACAACTCTAAACAGCTAGCATCCAAATAAAATATGTCTTTCCGGGATGATAAAATACAGCTGGATAATTTTCAACCGCTTAAACTGAGTTTACAACAGTAGCTCGGTAAATTCACTCACGTTCCACGCGGTCGTCCGCCCCGACACAAAAGTCAACAATATTACCTCGGGACCGTCCGCGTCTTCGCTTGCATTTGTCAGCATCTGGTGTCGATAGTATGAAAGTTCATAACCAGGCGAAAATTATTATGCTTTACCTCAAACTAAAAAATGCTTCATTTTCCTTAAAATTGCATGCTAAATGTCGTATAACCCATATTTCCACCATTCTGTCATTTTCAAAAAATCATTAAAAATATCATTCCACGGTCAATTTCCTTGTTCCACGGTCAGATTAAAGATAACTTTATGGAGATTTAGTAGATACTTAAATCAGCGTGCACTTTTTTGAGACGTGATGCACTTTTGAGTTTTAGTGGGAGAACGGCCGAAAAATTGCCTTCCGTTCTCATAAATGGGAACGCCCGTTCCCATATTTGGGAACTCCGTTCCCATATTTGGGATTTGGGTACTCATGACCATAGTTCCGCCTACTGAAATGGACAAGGACTCTTGTTTATATCAATGAACGAAGACTAGACTGTGGTAAAAATGACAGCAACGGCTTCTAAATATTAAACATCAACTGGATGTTGATGTTCAAAAATGGATTTTTAAGAAATGACAGACTTCTTGAAGCATAGCCATAGCAACATAATACAATGCCAATTGCCAATTGCCATATGTAACTATGTAGAACACTACAACGAGTACACCCGCAAATCAGAGGTGAATAATAAGTGCATATCTCAAGTTATATTTGTTTATAGCATTTAACCACCTTTACATATACTGATTTTGTCCAATTTATAAGCCATCAACAAAAAATGGCACTACAGCATTTTAGGCGCAATTTCAAAAAGTTAAAGACCAAATTCAAAACTTTCACGTGCATTTTGAATGTAAACTTTTTGAATTTGGTCTTTAAATTTTTGAAATTGCGCCTAAAAAGGTGTAGACTCCTAACTTGATGTGGTGCGACAAGAAATGGCGAGTTGCGCCTCGGCCAAATATCGGAGTCAGGAACAGCAAAGAACACAAAAATGACCTACACAGGTCATATCGATAGAAAAACCGATCAATACAAATTATAATTGACCAAAATGCACCAAACTACGTGTAGAAATCGGAAATCCTACCGAAGATTTCCAGAAAATGAAGCACAACACTTCTTTCCAAACAAAAGGCGCAACTGAAAATAGGCGCGCTTGCGCAGCGTTTGTAGCAAATGCCGCAAAAGCGTGAGGGCAATAGTCATCTTTTACTAAATTGTTGTTTAATCACTATTTTTCATTTTTCACTTTATTTTGACAGCATATAGCACTATATAAGTTTGATGGGCAAAAGTGAGAAGAAATCATGAATTTTATGAGGTTGCCTGTTTTCTTTGACTAGGAAATAAAACAAAAGCTGTTTGTTTTTATGAGAAGATCACAAAAAAATAAAAATCAGGGCATAGCAGCATTTGCTTATCATCGATCTTTTTAGAAAAACTAGACATTATTTCTTACCTAAATTCGACCTGGTATGCGGTCTTCCTGCACAGACCACCCGAGGGGAGATTCGAGTGCCAGTGCTGCGCTGCCTATTTTAGCTGTAGGTACCGAAATCCGAAATCTTGCCTGTCTGGTGGCAGTTCCGTTCACGGTTCACACCACTTCGATTAATAACAACTGATGAGAGCTCGCCGCCGCGCAGTCCGCAGTTGGTCCACATCCCTGCTTACTCGGGATTGGGTTAACCCATTTACGCCCTTCGTTGCGTTTTCGCAACGCAAGCAAGCGTCGACGTGATCGAAGCTTGAGAAGTGTGTAAAAGAGACTAACCGATGAGACAAGTTTCAGCGTGTGTAGCATGGTTGCGCGCATGATGCTACGCAGTTACAAGTCTGTGCGGCCGGTAAGTTACTGCCTAGAGCTCCCAGAGGGAAGTCGAAGGTTTTGTGAGTGATGACGTCACGAAAACCAAGATAAGTAGGCTAAGTGCTTAACAATATCGTAATGAAAATTGTGTAAACATATTCTGCAGAGTCCTTACAATAGCGTAGATATGCATTTTGTTAAGAAATAATGCTACAAAAAGGGTTTGTGACTATTTTCAAATATGACTACGGTCGCGTTGCGGGAACGCAACGAAGGGCACATCGGAAAGACAGCGGTGTTGCGAAAACGCAACGATGGGCACATTTGCAGGGTAGCGGAAGTATGAATATCAACAATAGACTTCACTCGTGATACGCTGTGGGTTCTCTCTTTCTCTCCCCCATCTTCCTCCCTCTCCTCCTCGTTCCCCAACTCTCTCCCTCCCTCTCTCTCTCTCTCTCTCTCTCTCTCTCTCTCTCTCTCTCTCTCTCTCTCTCTCTCTCTCTCTCTCTCTCTCTTTCTTTCTCTCTCTCATTTTGTAGCCATGAGGCTGTAGCGGCGGAACATCTTCAATTAAGGGCGGGGGGGGGGGCACTGCCGACTTTTGGTCCCATTCTTTCCATTTCCATTTCCATGCAACGCCTATAGGGATAATGTTAAAATGGCAAAATCAAGGGGGGCACGGTGCCCCGGTGCCCCCTCCCCCCGCGCTTCGCCGCCTATGCCATGAGGGTCGAGGGACGTGTATAGGTATGTTTATTGCAAGGTGCGTTCGCACGTAAAATGTTGCGACACATTTCATATTTGCTGGCTCAAACAGCCACAAACACTCCTTTCTTATTCTCTCGCAGATTTCGGCCTCGGGCTGTTCGTTCACTAAGCAATGTGTCCCCATGCATCTGAAAATCGCATGGTAGAAAAAGGACCCATGCATCAAACGGTCGGCGATGCTAACGGAGCTGAGAGATAATTAGGTCCTTTGGAAATTGGATCTACTATGTACATTGTGCATATATAATGAATAAGGGGGATGTATTCTGGTATCAGGCGACCGATAGGCATCGCCATTCTCTGGATAGAATCTGCTGACTACCAACATTTGCGTTAGAAAAGATAACTGAGGGTCGGCAAATAGTGGGATAGGCCACCTCTGGGGGTAGCTGAGCCCTTCGGCAGGGGTAATGAGGGCGGACCTGGGAAAATAATGATTTTTAGGATTCATAACTCGCATAGATTCATAAGCTGCTTAATGTAGAGTATACGCTTGTTTTCTTGCTTTGATAGGCTTTTTATCTCACTGAAAAAAATTTTTACTCAGGCCAGGCATTACTCAGTAATAACTCATGAAGAAACTCAGTGAATACGATAGTGGTGCTCACTTATTGGCTGATCTAACTCACATCACCAGGGTGACTTCGTTATGCGTGAGTTCTGAGTGCTTAGTTTCGTGAATTCGAACTGAGTCGGAAATGAGTTTTGCTTGGGCAAATCTAGTTTCCTGCGCAATGCATGAGTTCTCGCGAATTCACGTGCAGTTGTGCGTGAGGTACCCCCGGCTTGAAGATGCGCGCATGCGCGGCAGGGTGAGTTTCCTGCGTGATGCGTGAGTTCGCGTGATGAGTATTATAGCCGTTGCGTTCGAAAACCGCGGCGCGCGCTTCAGTCCGTTGTGGCGCGGTGACTCGCGTAGTTCACGTTGAATTGTTGAGGCTATTGTGAAATTGTGCGGGAGAGTGCAGGAGCGGGGAAGGCGTGCAGCGAAGGATGGGACGAGTAAGTTATCTGTGAAGAGCTCGGTGATTGTCGATGAAGCTTTTATCAATCGCATGCGCCGCGGAGAACAGGGAGGTGAACTGATGGACCAGCAGACATTCCCCGCCGGCGTCAGGAGGTCGGTGCCAACCGTGAACGGCGGAGCAGGTCGATCGAGAAACTGAGGGATACCTACCCGGCATAGTTCGAAAAAGAAGAGGTGAGTTATGTTATATTTAAATTTAACCCTTGCATGTGTGCGGCGTTTTCCAGCTTCTAATGTGTAGGGGGGGGGGGTCGGTTGGACCCCCCCTTGCCGTTTGGCCCCTGATCGAGCTAGAGCTTCGCGGAAAAAACGAGCGTGTTGCCCGTGACGAGAGGAAGCCGATGATACCCAATTTTCAGGTCCTAGGTCATTGGTTGACCTTCCAGGTCAGGTCAATGACCCAAAGTCGGGAAAATCGGGACCTATTAGAAAGTCGTAAAGTGTGGCTGCTAAGGGGTTTTTCGGGGTACTGATCACGAATATCGTGTTAGTTTTGATCACAGATGATGTCTTTAAGCATTTAGACCAGGTCGGGTCAGGTCAGGTCAGGTCAATCAGTAGGCGTCGTGACGGGTATTCGTAGTACGTGTCAACCGCCTCTGACAGCTTCGTAACATGTTACGAAGGCAACAAAACTACTTCGTAAATGTTCAAATGGTTGTTAAATTCGAATTCAGCTCCAAAAACTAGCCTAGAAACATGTAAAACTCGAAAAAGTGAACCGAGGTCACCCGAGGTCACCAAAGGTCAATGACCTGACCTGACCTTCAGGTGACCTTGACACCCACCCTAATGCATGGGAGCAACATCAAATCACATGTTTGAACGTTTGAAACCACGAAAAGCTTGCAAACGCGCGGCTAATGCGAGCCGACATACTCCGAATCGCGATTCCGGCCAAACATGGTCTCGGAAAAGAGGTCACAGGTCAAAGGTCATTTGGGTCAGGGTCATGAAAGTTTCAGGGTAGGTGTAAAATTGATCAATGCGATGGTACTGAAAGTTTCGTCGCGATCAGCCGCTTTTTACGCGAGTTATTCGCGAAAAACCATGGGGAAAGGGGGTCCATCCGACCCCCCCCCCTACACATGCGAGGGTTAAAAAAAACATGTTTGTGGGATAATGTTGTCCTTATCCTAAAAGAACGTTCATTTGACCCTTTTTACTTCTTTAAACAAGAACTCCGTCACGACCCGATTTTTTTTTTTGGGGGGGGGGGGCGAAGGTTGTTTGAAGTCGATCCTTTCCATGCAGCATCCATAGGCACAATGTTAAAAATGTAAAATATTGGGGGACACGTCCCCCGTACCCTTCCCCCCCCCCCCGGTGGTGGAGCCCATGGTCTTAATTCCGCTCGCTGAACCGTTTAAGATTATTTTGTCTCGTTTGTGCTTATTATTTTTCCACTGTTATTATTTTTTCCGACTGTTTTTTTTAATGCCTACACACATATTTTCGTACACTATTCGATTTCAGCGAGCATTTTCAACCTTCCTTACATATTAGATTATTAGATACCGCGGCGAGACGCGTTTGGACGTGACATACTTATTTCCATTACTGTTAAGTATAACACATTTTATGTGATTGTTTCAAGCTGATTTTAATATTGGACGCCCATGGAAGTGTTTTGCGAGACTAAAACCCGACTGTTAACCCGCGACCGCCTGGGGGGGGGGGTCGGATCCGACCCCCCCTCCGTTTTTCTTGAATAACTCATGAACCGCTTGAGCTATCAACTTGAAACTTTTTTTTTCACAATCAATTTATTGCATATTCAAAACACAGTATCCAGACATAAGACCAATCATCACATCATTACATCAACCTCACCACACCCCCACGCACCCCACAACTATCACACCACACGGGCACACCCCGCAGCCTCAACACCCCACTAAGGGCACCGTGCCGGTTCTGCTCGCCTGGCTAAGCCGGGGCGGCACATGCCTGTTATCGCCCCGGCCCCGGGGAGGCCGTAAGCCTCCCCGGTGCTCCAAACGGGCCGCTGGCCCCCGCCCGCGCCGCCTCGCGCCCTATGCTGCCATCTCGCGAGGCGACGCCCCTGCCCGCCGACCCGCCACGCGACCCGCCCACCAGTCGAGCCGGTTTGGCGGGGCGCGCGGCGGGCCGGCGGCCCAGCCTCCCGTCATATGATGGGAGGCTAGGCACGGGTTGGCCCGGATGGGTTAGGGGCGGGGGCTTTCGCCGCACATGGCGACACATGTCTTGTTTCCGAGGGTGTGCGTATATGTGTCTGTAATGTTATATATGTATTCTTGCATGACCGTTTATGTGTGGGCGTGCTGTGTGTGTGCATGTGTGTAAATGTTTATGATTGCGTAAGAGCGTATGTGGTCCGAGCCGCCCCGCCCCCCATCCCATGCAAACCGTCCCACTTTAAGTGCCATTTCTCATGCGAACCATTCATAATGCCGACGTATTTTTCAATCATGTAATGGCTTTTTAGGGTGTTTTCGAAGCGCCTCGCCTCTGGCTCAGTATTGTCCATTCTGGCGAACCAGATGCACTGCATTGCTAGCATTGCAAT